TGCTGCTGCTGCTGCTGCTGCTGCTGCTGCTGCTGCTGCTGCTGCTGCTGCTGCTGCTGCTGCTGCTGCTGCTGCTGCTGCTGCTGCTGCTGCTGCTGCTGCTGCTGCTGCTGCTGCTGCTGCTGCTGCTGCTGCTGCTGCTGCTGCTGCTGCTGCTGCTGCTGCTGCTGCTGCTGCTGCTGCTGCTGCTGCTGCTGCTGCTGCTGCTGCTGCTGCTGCTGCTGCTGCTGCTGCTGCTGCTGCTGCTGCTGCTGCTGCTGCTGCTGCTGCTGCTGCTGCTGCTGCTGCTGCTGCTGCTGCTGCTGCTGCTGCTGCTGCTGCTGCTGCTGCTGCTGCTGCTGCTGCTGCTGCTGCTGCTGCTGCTGCTGCTGCTGCTGCTGCTGCTGCTGCTGCTGCTGCTGCTGCTGCTGCTGCTGCTGCTGCTGCTGCTGCTGCTGCTGCTGCTGCTGCTGCTGCTGCTGCTGCTGCTGCTGCTGCTGCTGCTGCTGCTGCTGCTGCTGCTGCTGCTGCTGCTGCTGCTGCTGCTGCTGCTGCTGCTGCTGCTGCTGCTGCTGCTGCTGCTGCTGCTGCTGCTGCTGCTGCTGCTGCTGCTGCTGCTGCTGCTGCTGCTGCTGCTGCTGCTGCTGCTGCTGCTGCTGCTGCTGCTGCTGCTGCTGCTGCTGCTGCTGCTGCTGCTGCTGCTGCTGCTGCTGCTGCTGCTGCTGCTGCTGCTGCTGCTGCTGCTGCTGCTGCTGCTGCTGCTGCTGCTGCTGCTGCTGCTGCTGCTGCTGCTGCTGCTGCTGCTGCTGCTGCTGCTGCTGCTGCTGCTGCTGCTGCTGCTGCTGCTGCTGCTGCTGCTGCTGCTGCTGCTGCTGCTGCTGCTGCTGCTGCTGCTGCTGCTGCTGCTGCTGCTGCTGCTGCTGCTGCTGCTGCTGCTGCTGCTGCTGCTGCTGCTGCTGCTGCTGCTCCTACTACTACTACTACTACTACTACTACTACTACTACTACTACTACTACTACTACTACTACTACTACTACTACTACTACTACTACTACTACTACTACTACTACTACTACTACTACTACTACTACTACTACTACTACTACTACTACTACTACTACTACTACTACTACTACTACTACTACTACTACTACTACTACTACTACTACTACTACTACTACTACTACTACTACTACTACTACTACTACTACTACTACTACTACTACTACTACTACTACTACTACTACTACTACTACTACTACTACTACTACTACTACTACTACTACTACTACTCTACCGCTATAGCATATAGCGCTGGATACGCTGGATATGTACATGGCTGTACCATGTCTATCATGTTCGACCTCATTCTCTCCCTGGTACCTTTCCACTTCCAGGAAGCCTAAGATAATGAAGATTGAGTGAGTAGAACTGAAGTTATGATCCAAAGAACACGAAAAAATGCATAATTTTGAAAATTTCCTAGGGCTCTTTAGAAAGGGTTAAACGAGTCATTGTTTTTAGTGATTCGGTTGGAAACCCCCCTAGATGTGACCCTGCGTACGCGCCTGTCTTGGGTGACATCTGCAGTGCTGCCAAATAATTTTCGCCCAAAATCGGACACCCTTCACCGCCAAGGCTGGCCACATGGTGTGAATTTTCTCCTCGGCAAATTTTTTACAGAGAATTCAAAATATCGCCTAAAACACCATTAAAATTCGCTTCGTTGCCATGGTAACCCCGGAGTTATCATGAATTTTGAAATGATGAGTGTGGTCGCACACTGACTCTGTACACACTGTCAGCGTACATGCCATCCAGCCTGATCCAGGCATGTTACTTTGCACTTCCGCAGCCAAGCGCTAGCCTTTTTAGAAGCAAATTTACAGTGATTTGTGCATTCAGTTGCGCTGAAAAGTGAAAGTACAGGACTTCTGCATAGGAAAGTAATGATCTCCGACATTTTGCCTGCTTTTCGGACGTTTCCCTTTTCGGACCGGTTTTCGGAAGAGCCTTCAAAAATCGGACACAGTCCGAAAAATCGGACGGTTTGGCAGCACTGCATCTGGGCCAAGGGTTCAGTAGTGGATGATTGGCGGAATGCGGTGGTGGTCCCTGTCCCCAAGAAAGGTGACCTTCGCTGCTGCGATAACTGGAGGGGCATCAGCTTACTGGATGTCGCTGGAAAGGTGTTTGCCCGGGTTAAGCAGGACCGTTTGCAGGTTGTGGCTGAGGAAATTCTTCCGGATTCTCAGTGTGATTTTCGGCGAGGTCGAGGTTGCACGGACATGATCTTCTGTGCACGTCAATTAGTGGAGAAGACTATTGAGCACGATACGTCTCTTTACGTCTTGTTTGTAGATCTTCAGAAGGCGTACGACTCCATCCCCCGCACAGCGCTCTGGAGTGTGCTGGATAGGCCGGGTGTTCCGCCGGTTATGTTGGGACTCATCAAGTCCCTTCATGAGGGTATGATTGCGAAGGTGCGAGTCAACGGTAAGCTTTCCGACAACATCTAATGGGCTGCGTCAAGGATGTACTCTTAGCACCCACCCTCTTCAACCTGTATTTCAGTGTGGTGGTTGCTGACTGGTGCGCACGTTGTCCAGACGCTGGAGTCGACCTGCTGTTCAGAAACGGTCGCAAGCTGGTTGGGGACCGCACGGCGAAGTCCCGGTTATCCGCGACGAGGGTGACCGAGTCCCAGTTCGCCGATGATGCAGCGTTGTATGCAACCACCAGAGAGAGATTTGAGTGCATGACGTCCGAGTTCATCTTGTGTGCACAGCGATGGGGACTGACCGTCAGCATTAGGAAGACGAAGGGCATGGCGGTGGGTCAACCAACATCAGTTGATCCCGTTCAACTCGGTGGTGATAGCAGGATTGACATGGTGGACGGGTTCCGGTACCTTGGCAGCGTGCTCTCTGCTGGTGTATCGTGCTATCGCCCTTCCTGCTCTTCTCTACGGTGCGGAGACATGGCCCATCAAAGCGGGTCATATTCGCCGACTCAACACCTTTCACCATCAGTGTATTCGCACAATACTCAGTATCTCTCGTCGTGAGCAATGGGAGGAGAGATTGTCGTCAGCATCGCTGAGTGAGCTGGCAGGGGTGGACGTCGACATGGCCGATGTGATCAGGAAGCACCGCTTGCGGTGGCTTGGTCATGTTGCACGGATGAGACCCGGCTGCCCAAGCAGATGCTGTTCGGCGAACTGCCCTGCAAACGCCCGCAACATGGTCCCAAGAAGCGCTGGCGGGATGTTGTGTCCTCGGACTTTGCTGTCGTCGGTTTGCCTGAAGCGGACTGGTATGACACAGCGCAGGACAGATCCACCTGGTTTCAGTGTTGTCGATAGAGGGTCGAGAAGGAGGCCCCAGACATCCCGTGCCCCAACTACCGCTGTGACAGAGTGTTCCATCGTCCTGGTGACCTCAAGCGGCATGCGCCATACTGCAGATTTTGAGTTTAGAGCCTCAGAGTGAGGAAGCCATCGCTATCATTGCTACGGCAATGGGCGTTCAAGGTTCAAGGTTCAAGGTTCAAGGTGTGTGTATGTGTGTGTGTGTGTGTGTGTTACGTACACGCACTTGCACACGTACCGTATTTTACTGGTTGTAAGTCGACCCCGGTTATAGGTCAACCCCCGTATCCGGAGGTCTCAATTCAGCTTTTTAAAGTTTTCACCCAACGAAGCACTATTAACCATTCCCTGCTACTAACACATCAACAAATCATGTAAACATTCCTTGTTGGAGAGTATAACGTCCAAATCCTTGAAAAAAGCCAATAAACTGGCAAAAATGTGTACACATGGTGCACTCGTACATGTGGTTCAGGTCATTTTTTTGTAAGGTACTGATAGTTCCTGGTTATGAGTCGAATCCCGGTTGTAAGTCGACCCCACAATTTCTCTTTCTATTTTTAGTTGTAAAAGGTCGACTTAACACCGGAAAAATACGGAAGGGGATGGGTAGTAGGGTGGTGGCAAAGGCAATGGGGTGGGGAGGGGATGGGTAGTAGGGTGGTGGCAAAGGCAATGGGGTGGGGAGGGGATGGGTAGTAGGGTGGTGGCAAAGGCAATGGGGTGGGGAGGGGATGAGTAGTAGGGTAGCTGATGGACCTTCACTCTGCTGCTGACGTTTGCTTCTCTTGGCAGTAGATATTTCGCATTCAGTGTTTGTGTGTGTGTGTGTGTGTGTGTGTGTGTGTGTGTGTGTGTGTGTGTGTGTGTGTGTGTGTGTGTGTGTGTGTGTGTGTGTGTGTGTGTCCCATATGGTGCAGTGGTATGTGCAGCGATTTCCAATCGATAGGTTGCGGGTTCGATTCCCGACGATTATGGTCACACACGTCTTTCTTCTCTTTCTCAGACTCCTCCTGACTTTTCTTTAATTCTCCTGGGTGGTTACCAACAGCCCGGCAGTGCATGCCGGAGTATGTGGCCACGTGGTGTGATGTGTGTGCGTTAAAAAAAATGAAAAAAGACCAAAAAGTAGGGATTCACTGGCCAGAAAAAGCCACTTCATAGCTGTGTGGTGTAGACCAGGCTGAATAGTGGCGGTCATTTCTTCAGCCTTGCAAGCTGTTGAATGGTGCAATCCCAGCACAAGCTGCTATGGCTTCTGCTGTAGCATCGCTATCATCGCCTCTGGCGATGGGTGTCCAAGGTGTGTGTGTGTGTGTGTGTGTGTGTGTGTGTGTGTGTGTGTGTTTGTGTGTGTGTGTGTGTGTGTGTGTGTGTGTGTGTGTGTGTGTGTGTGTGTGTGTGTGTGTGTGTGTGTGGTGTGTGTGTGTGTGTGTGTGGTGTGTGTGGTGTGTGTGTGTGTGTGTGTTGAAAGAAAGAGAAGAAAGAGAGGGGCTTTTCAACACCAGATTTGCAGAGCATCGCAGAATTCGGCTGACGGAGTGTCAGTTTCCGGATGATTTAGCCCTGCTTGCAGTTACGCATGCTAGTGCTGAGAGGGCTCTATCCTCGTTCAGGGATGTAGCTGGCGCGTTTGGCCTTAGTGTCAATATGTCCAAGATCAAATTCATGGCGGCTGGGGCTAGTATTGTAGATGCCGACCAGACCCCTTTGGATGGTGTTGTTGACCACGTTGAGGCCTTTCTCTATCTCGGTTGTCATGTTATGCCAGACGCCCAGAGCTCGTTTGATGTGTCTCGGCGAGTTGCTGCTGCATCGGGTGCATTCTGTACGCTGCGGGAGTCGGTTTTCGACAGTGATGACTTCAGCATCGCCATCAAGCGCATTGTGTATGGAGTGACTTTCCTGGCCGTCCTTCTTTATGGATCGTGGAGTTGGACCGTCAGGCAGCGTGATTTCCATCGCCTGGAGTACTTTCACCTGCAGTGCGTGCGCTCCATCCTCAAGTTAAATCGTGGCCGGCAGATAGAGGAGCACATCTCCTCTCTTCAGGTTTGCAAGATGTAGGGCACTATGAATGAGATCGCGGATAAAGTCAGAGTCCGCCGACTTCGATGGCTTGGCCACGTGTCCTGCATGCAAGACCGAATCCCTCATCAGCTGCTGTACGGCGCGTTACCGTCCAAACATCCACCGCATGGACCCCTTAAGCGCTGAAAGGACTCCGCAAAGTGCGACTTGATGGCTGTTCGTGTTCCTCTGGAGCAGCTTGGTGACATCGTCCAAGATCGACAGGGATGGCGGGTCACCTGCCGTGACGCTGTCGACGCTATTGTCCAGTCCCGCATGGAGCCTGTGGCGAAGCCCCTCATCTGTGGCACTTGTGCGCGCAGTTTTCGTTGGCCACAGGATATTGGGAGGCACAAATGTAACGCTGTTCGCGCGGCCCGCGCGCGCTGAGTCTGGCGTTCCCCGCCCGGTGCACAACACGTCTACTGGTCTGCCCCGGATGGGGCCACATAGCCAGTCATGGCAGTGGAAGAAGGAAAGGAAGGAAGGTGTGTGTATGTGTGTGTGTGTGTGTGCATGTGTGTGTGCGTGTGTGTATATGTGTGTGTGTGCGTTTGTGAGCGTGTGTATATGCGTGTGTGTGTGTGTGTGTGTGTGTGTGTGTGTGTGTGTGTGTGTGTGTGTGTGCATGGATGCATGTGTGTGTGTGTGTGTCTGTGCGTGTGCGTGTGGGTACTTGTCTGTTCACATGCGTTCTTTGTCTGTTCTCTTGTCTGTTCAGATCCGTGAGATATGAATACAAGTTCATCATTGGGCGGCGGTTCACACCATTAGCCTCAGTCCGATCACATTCAAGAAGGTAGTATCACACGAAGACAGTGCTACACGTACATGCCCTTCGTCTCCTGCCAACTCTTCAGTTTGTTTTGATCGATAAGTTCTTGAAGTCCGAACGCTTTGAACTGCGCGAGAATCCGCCAAGCCGCCATTATAGGGCCTGAAAGATTTCACGTCATATAATTCTGCTATACAGTGATGCTATTCATCTGTACCTGCTGTACTTGCTGTTTGACCATGGCTCTGCTGTTCATCTGTACCTGCTGTTTGACCATGGCTCTGCTGTTCAATCATGGCTTCTTTTTTTTTCTCTCTCTCTCTCTCTGTGCTTTTAAAATTTATTATGTATGTGTACGTATAGATGAGCTGTTGTGGTAATAGTATTTCTCTTAGTCCTAGTACTAGCGGGGTAGTACTAGCGGGGTAGTACTAGCGGGGTAGTACTAGCGGGGATGAGTGGGCCGTACAGGCACAGTGATGAACCACGCTAACAGTCCACGTCCAACATGATAAAATGACAACAAAAATAACATAATATGAGCCGTCAGATCGAACAGACCTTATCACAAAAACTGTAATTGTTATGTCGAATGTTTTCTATGGATTGTTTTTTGTTTTGTTTTTTGTTGATTGTTTTAAAGGGTGCTGTGATTTCTACATACTTGTTTTACTTGTTGACATGACGTGTACGCAGGCCAGTAAAGCCGGTAATGCCAATGTACATGCTATCTTCGCCGTGCACACAGCTGTCCCCGCGTTGATTTGCTACACTCAACCCCGCCGCCGCCGCGCACGTCTACTACTGATCCTGAGCTGCTGTCCTGCTGCTAGCATGTGATGTGCGTTTTAGTTTTTCAGCGTGACTTGATTTTCTCGACGGCAAGGAACGCACGCCTCTCCCTTGCCTGCCTGCACTCACACACACACACACACACACACACACACACACACACACACACACACACACACACCTAATTACAATGGCACAATACAGTCTGGTTGAATACTCAGTTGTTTGGAATGAAAAATCTTTCTTTTTTAAACCTGCTATGCAGGTGTATACGTGTACTGTTTTGTCATCACTTCAGAGTACTGTTTTGTCACTTCAGAGTACTGTTTTGTCATCACTTCTACACCCCCTCTTGTTGTAGTCGGGGGGGGGGGGGCACTTATGTCCCGGTAATAAATTCCAGAAGACGAAAAGAAAGCTTGCTTGAATGCTGACAGTTACAGGTCCACTTTATACACTCATTACACAGTTGTCATTAGGGCTCAAACGGTTAGTCCAATTAACCGGTTGCAGACCGGTTACAAAGAATTAACGGTTAACAGATAAAGATAACGGACTTTTGAGTCAATTTTTTAAACTATCAGGTCGTTGCAAAGTATGCCCTTTCGCAGGCTGTCGCACGCGTACGCAATTTCTGGGCTGTCAACTCGGTCATATCTGGTCTCTTGGTGTGAGAGTATGTATGAATGAGCATGCAAGAGAATGTACATGTGTGCGTTGTACTGAATAGGGTACATTTTTTGATTGAGTATAGTCAAATATACGGTTAAAAAAGAGTCCGCAGGATTGCCGTGGCTTATAGGTTATAATTACTTACATGTAAAACCGTTAAACCGACCGTTAGCTTAGCAGTTAACCGTTAGGGGTAAAACCGTGACCGTTTGAGCCATAGTAGTTTATATGCAAAGCGAACGACTCAAATATCTTTCCCCAGTCCAGGAATCGAGGAAAGATCATCTGATGTCTACCGCACAGATGGACGCCGTTCACCCGCGCTAGGCGTCTGTGCAGCTGACGAAGGCTACGCCACGAATCATCACACCCTTCAAGATACTGTAACCATTAGAGGGGAAGTTAAAGGGGAAGTATACCCTAAAATCAAAATTTCACCAGTTGTAGTCTTCTGGGTGCTGAGTCGAATGGTCTTGGTCCGAGGAAGCTGCGACGCTCCCTTCCTACTTGAATCCCAATCGAACTCGCGCACTTCCACCGAAACTGGGTGACTGCGCCCTACTAGATGGGGATTTGTATGCAAAATGTCACTAAAAGCGCCATTTCGTTCTTATAAAAGCACGGATGACCGCGATTGGCCCATATGTTGTAGTCTTTTGGACGCTGAGTCGACTGGTTTTGGTCCGAAAAGGCTGCGATGCAGCGTTCCTCCTTTATTCCCAATCGAACATGGTTGAACAAGCGGTCACGTGCTCCTGGGTGCCCAAATCACCTGGTCACCGCGCCAGCAGGCGACAACTTTCACACCAAGGTTCAACTCGAGTTCAACTCGAGTGACAGGACTGCACCCAAAAAAGGTCAAACAGGCTAGTAAGTTGTACCCTGCAGGCACGGTGACCAGCTGACTGGTGTACGCAGGAGCACGTGACCGCTTGTTCAACCATGTTCGATTGGGAATAAAGGAGGAACGCTGCATCGCAGCCTTTTCGAACCAAAACCAGTCGACTCAGCGTCCAAAAGACTACAACATATGGGCCAATCGCGGTCATCCGTGCTTTTATAAGAACGAAATGGCGCTTTTAGTGACATTTTGCATACAAATCCCCATCTAGTAGGGCGCAGTCACCCAGTTTCGGTGGAAGTGCGCGAGTTCGATTGGGATTCAAGTAGGAAGGGAGCGTCTCAGCTTCCTCGGACCAAGACCATTCGACTCAGCACCCCGAAGACTACAACTGGTGAAAATTTGATTTTAGGGTATACTTCCCCTTTAAAGGGGAAGTATACCCTAAAATCAAATTTTCACCAGTTGTAGTCTTCTGGGTGCTGAGTCGAATGGTCTTGGTCCGAGGAAGCTGCGACGCTCCCTTCCTACTTGAATCCCAATCGAACTCGCGCACTTCCACCGAAACTGGGTGACTGCGCCCTACTAGATGGGGATTTGTATGCAAAATGTCACTAAAAGCGCCATTTCGTTCTTATAAAAGCACGGATGACCGCGATTGGCCCATATGTTGTAGTCTTTTGGACGCTGAGTCGACTGGTTTTGGTCCGAAAAGGCTGCGATGCAGCGTTCCTCCTTTATTCCCAATCGAACATGGTTGAAGAAGCGGTCACGTGCTCCTGCGTACACCAGTCACCTGGTCACCGTGCCTGCAGGGTACAACTTACTAGCCTGTTTGACCTTTTTTGGGTGCAGTCCTGTCACTCGAGTTGAACTCGAGTTGAACCTTGGTGTGAAAGTTGTCGCCTGCTGGCGCGGTGACCAGGTGATTTGGGCACCCAGGAGCACGTGACCACTTGTTCAACTATGTTCGATTGGGAATAAAGGAGGAACGCTGCATCGCAGCCTTTTCGGACCAAAACCAGTCGACTCAGCGTCCAAAAGACTACAACATATGGGCCAATCGCGGTCATCCGTGCTTTTATAAGAACGAAATGGCGCTTTTAGTGACATTTTGCATACAAATCCCCATCTAGTAGGGCGCAGTCACCCAGTTTCGGTGGAAGTGCGCGAGTTCGATTGGGATTCAAGTAGGAAGGGAGCGTCGCAGCTTCCTCGGACCAAGACCATTCGACTCAGCACCCAGAAGACTACAACTGGTGAAAATTTGATTTTAGGGTATACTTCCCCTTTAAGGCAAAAATTAAAATTTTCACCAGTTGTAGTCTTCGGGGTGCTGAGTCGAATGGTCTTGGTCCGAGGAAGCTGAGACGCTCCCTTCCTACTTGAATCCCAATCGAACTCGCGCACTTCCACCGAAACTGGGTGACTGCTCCCTACTAGATGGGGATTTGTATGCAAAATGTCACTAAAAGCGCCATTTCGTTCTTATAAAAGCACGGATGACCGCGATTGGCCCATATGTTGTAGTCTTTTGGACGCTGAGTCGACTGGTTTTGGTCCGAAAAGGCTGCGATGCAGCGTTCCTCCTTTATTCCCAATCAAACATGGTTGAACAAGCGGTCACGTGCTCCTGGGTGCCCAAATCACCTGGTCACCATGCCAGCAGGCGACAACTTCAGGGCTCACGGTTGTGTACAAATACGTGGGCGCCATTTTGTTTCTGGCCAGCTCACGCGACGACAGGTCGACTGTCACGCGACCACAGCTCGACCACCACTTGTACACAAACTCTAGCCATCTCGCAGCGCATTTTCAGTGCGACACATGCCACTTCAAAATAGAATAAGGTAGCACGGGTAGACAGTACGACACTGAAAATTTGGGTGGAACCAGGCAAGATGTGAACTAGGGGTTCAACCGAAGGAATTTTTGATTTTGGTCCCGGGAAACTAAAGATATTGTCACAAAGTCCGTGAATGCTCTACAGCGATCCCTTCATCTAGGGAAAAATCGCTTCGGTTAAACTGTAGCATAGTATCTCCTGAAGATTTTGAGCCATCGATTGTCAAAATCGGCCAATATTGTGCTACCTTATACTGTTTTGAAGTGAGCTAAGTCGGCAGGGGCGCACGCGAACTCCCGTGCGCGACGACAAGGAAGGAAGCCTGTGCATATGCGTTGTACGATGTGGAAACTACACCAGCGAGGCAGCAGCAAGGCGTTTTTTGCAATGTTTCCTCCGCGACTGAAAAACTCTTGAAATATTATTGACCGTTTGCTGTCTCGCTCATCGGCGCTCTACTGCTGTGTGCTTCAGCAGCTATGGCGAACCGAAAATACATGACCAGTACAACGGCGAAGCCATTTGATTCGTCCTCTTGCAACGAAAGAGAGTGGCAAATCAAATAATTCACATCTCTCCATCGTCACTTCTCACAGCAGCGTGGCACGGCTCTTTCACTCGTGTAAGTGCATTAACAAAACGCTCTGAGAACAGAGATAACGAACTAGAACACGGTGTGAGTCTTTGCTTCATTCCATCAAGGAGCTATTGTCCTCTACCTCTCCTCACCTGCGCCAGTGCACCAGTGGACGACATAGATGTCGATCCCTTTCTCAGCAAAGACTCGGCGGCAGAACTCGCGACTTCTCATCGCAGGACTCAGCGTGCGAACGAACTGTCTGAAGCCTTCGGCTTACGAGGCCAGCACTGCTCGCAACACACTCGCTCGGAAAGAAGCAATAACAACGACAGTGAACGGCAACCAAAGTGAAACACAAGTCCCCAGCCAGTCTCCGTCTTCCTCAGTTCTACTTCTTCTTGTCAGTCACCAGGTCACTGCAACTCTCTCGAGTCCTTGCTGTGCTCCGCGCCGCGTAGGCGTGCACTGCCGCGTGCATAGCTCGAGTCACGCGAGCTCATTTCTATGGTGATCAGATTTCAAGATGTCCTCCCACGTAATCGAGTTTTGGCATCCCAACCGTGAGCCCTGAACTTTCACACCAAGGTTCAACTCGAGTTCAACTCGAGTGACAGGACTGCACCCAAAAAAGGTCAAAACAGGCTAGTAAGTAATTAGTTGTACCCCGCAGGCACGGTGACCAGGTGACTGGCGTACGCAGGAGCACGTGACCGCTTGTTCAGCCATGTTCGATTGGGAATATAGGAGGAACGCTGCATCGCAGCCTTTTCGGACCAAAAACAATCGACTCAGCGTCCAAAAGACTACAACATATGGGCCAATCGCGGTCATCCATGCTTTTATAAGAACGAAATGGCGCTTTTAGTGACATTTTGCATACAAATCCCCATCTAGTAGGGCGCAGTCACCCAGTTTCGGTGGAAATGCGCGAGTTCGATTGGGATTCAAGTAGGAAGGGAGCGTCTCAGCTTCCTCGGACCACGACCATTCGACTCAGCACCCCGAAGACTACAACTGGTGAAATTTTAATTTAGAATCAGCGCTTTTCCTGGGTAGATCTACCCGGGGATTACCGAGTGTCGATTTCCAATGCCGAATACAGCTGTACTTATGGTTGATAAATATGGTCACGGTAAAGACACACCTGGCAATATGGCGGTAAACACACGCCTGCCCACACACGCTCTCTAGGCTGCAAAGTTCTGGCACAGAGCTCTCCTTCTCACCGCCACCACCACCATCAGTTCGCGCCTGGCGCCTGGTCGATGCATGGCTGGCGTGTCTTTACCACCATATTTATCAACCATAAGTACAGCTGCAGTGGTGTCTTCAATTTCATTCTCCCGAGTCAAGCTCCGTATGAAGACATCCAAGAAGAAGATTGCCTGATGAGTCCAGCGGGGACGAAACGTACGTCGCAATCGAGCTATGTCGTTGCTGTGTCATCATCTATGTGCCATGCGCTACTTGATGTACCAGCTTCGGCTGCATTCGATTTTTCTAGTGCTACTCGTGTTGGAACGAAGACTACTGAATCTGTCCATGCTGCTCTACACTCACTTGCACCCTTTTTTTCTAGTTTTGCGGCCTTTCCGCTATACTAGTGCCGTCCGAGCAGATGACGACAAGCGTTTGAAGCGACGTCAGTCGTGCACTGCAGCGTTGTTGACAGTCAGTAGGCTGCAGTAACTAACTAAAATTTTACTTGTTCTAAACCAGGGAGTAGTAAAGTATTTTACTACTCCCTGGTTCTAGTTAGAGGATCAGGAGCACGTACCAAGGCAAGTGAAGGGTTTTCGGTGGCGCATTCCCTGCTGCTATGCTAGCGCTAGGCTACCGTGTCAGCTGCAGATCCACTTCAGTAGATCTACTACCACGACTACCGCTAGCACCGATCGTACTTGTTTTTGCAGCGAGTGGGAGATCTGGCCTGGGTCGACTGCTGCTTCGCACTTGTTGCGCTGGGTACCGTGTGGCCGAAAAAGGGGATCCCCCTGTCTCGTCCTCGCAGTGAGACGTGAAAGTACCAGTGCTGTGTCGATCAACAAACAGCGAGCCTGGCTATGCCCACTGTGCTGTACTCTGTAGTAGATCTACCGACACTGTACTGTAGTCTGTAGAGTGTAGTACCATGAGTACTGAGGCTAGCCTATGCCTACATCATACATGACTGATTGTACTGCAAAGAGTTGGTGGATTGTACTGCGCCTATGCCTATGCCGAGTAGATCTACTGTCAGTCTGTATGGTCTCCACTGACTGTCTTTTACTTTTTTTAGTCACAGATAACGAAAGCAAGTCCGACACGCATTTCTTTTCCTGATCTTGAAACTGAGTTACTTTGCAGCTTTTTTTCCCGTCCTGCAAAGAGAACACCCCTTGCCATCATGTTGTTATCGTGTAGCAGGCCTGGGTTGGCTTGCTAAGTGCACACAAGATACTAGTACACGGAATGATAAGTGCAGTCCGAGACTGGTGTGACCAGCGGAATGCTAACGGGAAATGGAACTCGTCCCGGTACTGCGTGGGGAGCATTTCGGTGCCTGCACGTTTGCTGGCTGCTATGGCTCGGTAGGTGGTTGCTACTTGTAACGACTTTCTTTACGTGCTTGCCGTAGCGTACTACTAGACTGGTGGTGGCCATGATCAAGACTTGTTTATTGTTGGCGATAATTATTTATTCACTGAAAATTTGTTTGAGGAGCTAACACCAACTAGAAAATCTGCGGGAGCCCGTATCAATCAATGATAGACAATTATTATTAATGGCTCGGCTGTTGAATCAATAATAAAATTTAGAGAAAAGAAAGGCACATAATTATGGTTACAGTGGTGGACAGTTACTCTGAACTCGTAACCATAATTCTGTTGCTTTCCTTTCTCTAAAATTTTATCGTTGGCTCAAGCAATTTGTAGGGGCTAGGTGTGCCTGCCTGCACTGTGCTCTGTACCAGGCAAATTCGATTTGAACATGCTTGAGCTGGGAATTCCAGTTTTGCAAGGTTCACTGTGACAGTGCATACTGTCAGCAGCAGTACAGGCCGAAAATTTGATGCGGTCGAAGTGTATTTTAGCCCTCGGAGGCCGAAATTTGAATGAGCCGAAAATTTGTCGACTTACAGTATGTAGATAGGCGTTCATCCTTCGGCTGCTCTGAGTGCTGGTTTGTCTCCCGTACAGCATTTGCCATGGTATGCACTGAGCCTATACAATACTGTATAAGCAGAAATATTCGTCTGGAATTTAATTTCGTCTTTTTCGTCCAAGGAGCTTTTGGACTAAATTAAATGCCGGACGAATGTCGATTTGTCCAGCTTTTCAATACACTCTTATGATCCATGGACGAAATTGACAGCCGGACGAGCTCCCTTTCTTTGGAGTTGGACGAAATTATTGACCGACGAAATTTTCTGCCTCTACAGTACTTCCTTACACAATGCACTGAGTGTGTGTGTATGGGGGGGGGGGGGGGGGGGGGGAGAGTTATACTGCAGCTCCGAGTTTCTCATGTATGCCCATAGTCAATCTATGAACAGCTAGCTGTTTCGACTTTGTTACATCTCATCAGCTGGGCTCCGAGTCACTGGCTGAACCTATCGTAATAATTATAGTCTAGTGAAGAAAATACTATAATCGGCCTAAAGCACCAAAGTCAGACTGCTCTATATGCAAGCACAGTAGGTTTTGCATACAGGCAGAAAACGTTGACATAAACCAGAAAGAGTCACGCTCAACCGGCGAGACGAAGCGATGGAGAGTAACGCATTCACTCACTGTTGTATGTCTGTTGTGGTGACTCAGTTCACCGTGTCGCGGATCAAGCTGAATTACATTTACAGTCAACTTTGCGTATAACGACACTCGGCAGGGCATCAGAAAAGTGTCCTTATTCGCGAAGTGTCCTTAAACCGGAAGTCTCATCATGTGTATTACAGTTAGATGGGACTTTGCTCTGAGCATGGACATTCTGTCGTTATTCGCGAATTGTCGTTATATCCGCAGTCGTTATTAGCGAAGTTGACTGTAGTACAAATCCAGGGTGTAAATCTGAACCTGGGCTTGGAAACAGGGTCTGTTCGAGATCAGTATTGTGGTGACATCATTTCTTGAAGTATCTACTATGGAATGACATCATTTCTTGAAGTGTCTAGCATGGAATGACATCATTTCTTGAAGTGTCTAGCATGGAATGACATCATTTCTTGAAGTATCTACTATGGAATGACATCAGGAGTACTAGGTTGCTGCTCAATTCAAGGCATAGACAACGATGTCATTCACAGAACGCCATTCCGTTTTCTGTAGCCTTAAACAATGGTAGCTTGGGTACATGTGTATGGCAGCAATGCCGCTGGAGTTGTTCAGGTTCATCCATACGAGCTTGTGTTCATGTGTGCGTGTACATGGATGATGTTGTTATGCAGGTTCATGTATGTAAACGTGTGTGCATGATTGTTCATGTAATCCACAGCAGCAGTGTTCCGTGACCTAATACCCTGCTATAGTGCTCAAATTCCCGTGATGGGCAGAGCGCAGTACACATGAGGTACACAAAGGAAAGAAAAGGTTTTTTTGTTGGTACTCAGAGCCATGAAACGCTGAGTTACGACAAAAAAGCCCAACTTCTTCCCTTGTGTATCTCTTGTGACGGTGTGTAATACTGTGTGTTATGTGCAGGTGCTTTCGTCAACTATAGTACACAGCAATCCAATGCAGAGGATCCAGCTAGTGGTAAGTCACGACTTCACCAATCAGTAACGCATGGAACATCGAACGAGACCCGGGCTGGTATGGGTGCACTATCTGCACAAGCAGTGCCAGTCGTGTGTGCTGCATAATCCAGGACTGTACCACAGGTGCTTTTAAAGTTTGATATCCCTTTTATCTCGTGTTAGCCGTTGAATTCCTAATTTGCTATACTAGACAGTACAAAACCTGTGAATGTAGCAGGTCTGATACGGTGACCACCTGTCCTAGAGGACCACTACAATCAGGACCGAGGGCTGCTATTTCCAGTCAAATGATCCTGGATATTAAAGGAGACACAGGGACTACATTTGAAAGGTCCCCAGAGTAGTATGTGTCGAGCCGGTCCAACACCCGAAAATTCATTTTTTAAGTAAAAACCGGGCGCTCGGTTTTTACCCCAAAAATGGGGT